GCCGGTTTCCCCACCTGAAGGGCGGGCGTCGCGCCCTGTGTCCTCAGCTCCCCCCGGGGCTCAGCGCCCGCCGGCTTCTTACCCACGCGGTGCAGGAAGAGCTTGCCCTTGGCTGGGAAGCTGAAGTTGATGACGTTGTCCAGCAGCGGGATGTCCAGGCCCCGGGCCGCCAGGTCCGTCACGATGAGGGTGGAGCACTTGCCGTGGGTGAACTTGGCCAGGTTGATCTTGCGGGCCGTCTGGTCCAGGGCGCTGTAGATGTGGGCGCTGTAGATGTGGGCGCAGCTCACCCGCTGGGTCGTCAGCAGCTGCTCGGAGCCAGAACGGGAGGGGAGAGGGGAGAGGGGTGAGGAGCTGGTAGGAGAGAGGAGTCTGGGCCACCGCGGGATGCCATGACCTGGTGTAAGCCTCACCGTGGCTCTCCCACTAATGAGCTGCATGACCTTTATTTTCCTCGTCTATAGAACGGGGAGAATTGTTCCTGCTCTGTAGCTTTGTTAGAAGGATTCAATGAGCTAACACAGTGCTGAGAACTCGGCCCGGAACACAGGAAGCCCCGTGAGAGTGTTAACTGCTCTTTGAGAATTACTATTTCAGTCTCATTCATCAGAGACCCCAGCAGCTGCACGCAAGGAGGAAGCTCCGTTAAATGTATGACAAGTTAATGAAACCCAGTGAAGTGTGTCCTCAGAAAACAGACCCCAGGTGTGGCTGACCAAGGGAGGGGCCCCAGCAGCCTTTGGGGCACAGGAACCCCATGCTGTCATATGGAAAAACTCATCCAGTTGCTCACGTAGAATTGGGCACTGTACAAGGCATGCAGGCTACGCCTCATTTTTAAAAAATGAAACATATGGGAAAATTTATACAAAAGTGATAGCACGGCTGGGAGAATACTTCAACATAACCTGGGTGGAGGGGGTAGCAACGGATGAGTCAGGACTGGCCATGAGTGGATAACTGAGTACCTGGGAGTTCAATAAAGTAATAAGCCCTGGCCAGGCCCGTGGTCTGCTCTGGTGCTGCCCTCTGGTGTCTGCACATGGAAACTGCAGCCCCGAGCTAATGAAGGTGCAGGTGCAGGACCTGTCTTCCTCCGCCAGCCAGGCCCGCTCACCTCACTGAGGTATTCCGCGTGGTGCTTTGTGGCCACAAACACCACCGTCTGGTCCTGGGGCCGCACCACATTGCGCAGCAGGTGGAGGAGCACGGCGGCCTTGGTGTCCTCCCGCACGAGGAAGAAGGAGGTCTGCAGGGAGAGGGGCCGTGAGGGTGTGGCTCTCAGGGCCCTGCACAGAGGCCCGGCGAGGGGCACAGGCAGACCTCACCTTGAGCTGCTCGTTGAGTTTGGCGTCCACATCCAGCCGAATGAGCACGGGCTCCGTGAGGCCTGCGGTGGGCAGAGGGGAGTGGGGGGTTGAGTCACTGAAGGACAAGGCCCGGGCCCAGGCCCCCACCCGAGCTCACTCACCGGCCCGGGCGAACTCCACCAGCATTTTGGGCAGCGTGGCATAGAACAGGAGCGTCTGGTGGCCCCCCGGGAGGCGGCTGATGATTTCCTGCAGCTGCTCTGCAAACCCCATTTCAAAGAGCCTGGGAGGGCGGAGGGCAGAGTGCAGAGGGCAGAGGGCAGGACAGGTCAGGAGAGGGGCTTCCTCCAGTGAGTTCCCAACTTCAGCCACCCTCGCCCCCCCTCCCCCTTTTCCCATGTGGTCGATGTTTGCCTTGATTTTTCTGTCTGACAACTTCATTCTAAGCAATAATGACCTTGAAATCTTGGGTCTGATCTGTTCTGTTTCCTACAAATTTGCATTGAAATAAATGACAGCAGCCCTCGCTCTGGGTCAGGCACCGTTCTGAGTACTTTACAAATATCGGCTCCTGAGTCCTCACAGCATTCTGGGAGGCACATGCTATTTTATCCCCACCCTGCAGGCGAGGCCCCCCAGGCCCCCAAGACCCTCAGTGATTTGTCCAAGTTCACGGAGCTGGGATTTGATCCCGCCTGTGTTCTCAACTTTGTGCTACTTTTTCTAACCGTGATCCCGGTACACAGGTCTCTCCTGGCAGAGTCCTTCCTCCCAGCAACCGCACCTCCCTCTGATTTCCCAGCCGCGGCCAATCTGGACACTGCGAGGGGTGTACCTGCAGCCTTACCTGTCAGCCTCGTCAAATACCACGTACTCCACACTCTGCAGCTTCAGGTTCATCTCCACAGCCACATGCATCAGGCGGCCAGGGGTGGCAATGATTCTGGAAGGGGTGTGCAGGCCAGGTCACCCAGGGCCACCAGCAGAGCCCTCCTCTCACTCCCCAGACGTTGGCCATCTGGGAAGGGACCCCAGAGCATTACCCCCAATGCAGACTCACATGTCAGGGTTTTCATGCAGGGCTGAAAACTGGTCTTCCATTCTAGGGAGAAGGGCAGGAGTCAGCTCGATAGAACAGGTCTCTGTCTAGTCCCTGTCCCTTCCCACACCACATTCCCGGTGAGCCCCACTCCCTGACCCCAGACTTGCAACTGGGGAAAGGCTATTGCTGACATCCTAGGCCAGTGGTTCTCAACCTTCCTAATGCCGCGACCCTTTACTACAGTTCCTCATGTTGTGGTGACCCCCAACCATAAAATTATTTTCGTTGCTACTTCCTAACTGTAATGTTGCTACTGTTATGAATCGTAATGTAAATATCTGATATGCAGGATGTATTTTCATTGTTACAAATTGAACATAATTAAAGCATAGTGATTAATCACAAAAACAATATGTAATTATATGTGTTTTCTGATGGTCTTAGGCGACCCCTGTGAAAGGATCGTTCGACCCCCAAAGCGGTTGCGACCCACAGGTTGAGAACCACTGTCCTAGGCAAAGGCACTGCCCTGACAAGAGATGCAGGTTCAAACATTCAAAAGGACTCATACAACAAAGAGTTCCCCAAAGAGTGGGCTCAGCCTCAGAACCCACCTCACTATCTCCAGAGGCAACAAAGTTGCCTCTCACCCACAGCCTCCTAGCAACTACCCCTGGAACTGCCAGCTGCACCTCGAATCCAGTTTCTGGGATCTCTCTGTCCTTATTCTTAAACCTTTTGAGCACACACATCCCTAACTTAGTCGTCCCTTGGGACACCTGTAGGAGCCAGAATTCCGGGCCAGGCCTAGCCTGGGAGGCACTGCTCACAGTAACTAACTAGAGATAATACATTATAATGTAGGCAAAGAGCACTGGACAGCAAAACACGCAGAACTGAGTGACTGGTGACAGTGACACTGAGAACAAGGAGGGGGCTGCCCTGTGAGGGAGCCTGTGGAAGGGGGAGGGGCACAGCAGGGCACCCGAGTTCTCATCTGAGCGGTACTACCAAACCACTGCACGGCTCTGGGCCCACCACCGCCTCAGCTTGCTCACCTGTAAACAGGTGTGATGCCTGCCACTTCAGAAGGATGGTACCAGCACATCAGGAAAAATACATTTTGCAAATCTGAGCTATTACAAACATGCTTTGATTTGTGCACATTCTGCTTTAAACAACCCACACGTACGCACATTAAAACATACATCTGAGCTACCGGGTGGGTGACCCGGATGCACCAGCTGTCTTTCAGGAGCATCAGAACCTTCGCAATGTGCTCGTGTGGGAAATTCCTTCTCGTATGTTACTGCATGTTTCCTTATTCTTCACAAGCATCAGTCTTATTTTTTAGAATGTGCCGAGAACTTGCTATTGTTAATAAGCCACACAGGCACCTACATTCTGATACCCTGGAGGCATGGGGTGCGCTTGCACAGGGATGGGGGTGTGGGTGACCGTGGCCAAGGGCAAGAGGGTTCTTACTTGTCCCCACCCAGGATCAGGGCAGTCTTGAGGCCGGTGAACTTGCCCAGCTGTGGGGAGAGACAGAGAAAGATTGAGAGAGGGTAAGGGGGAGGTGACTCAGCCCCCTCAGGCCTCCCCACTGATTCCAGCTCAGCCTGCCTCTCCCTGCCCTCCCCACCATACCCCTCCCCCCTCCCCACGGTCCCCCTTCCCAACGCCGACACACCTCCTTGGTGAACTTCATGGTCTGCAGGGCCAGCTCCCGGGTGGGCGAGAGAATGAGTGCACGGGCCCCCGTCTGAGCGCTGCGGGTCTTGAGCCGCTCGAACATGGGGATAAGGAAGCAGGCTGTCTTGCCACTGCCCGTCCGGGCCATGGCCACCATGTCTTTGCCATCCAGGATCACGGGGATGGTCTGGAGACGAATGGGGAGGGGAGGGGCGGGGCGGGGTCAGCTCCTGCATCAGAGCTTCGAGTTCCCAGTGGAACTAGGGGACCTCAGTGAGGGGGAAGGGGCCTGTCGCCCAGCTCTGATCCCATTTTTGACAATGCTCATTTGCACACCTCCAGGGACGAGCAGCTCACCACCCCCAACTCTTTCCATGGTTTGAACATCCTTCTTCAGATTAAGCCAGACTCTACCCTCCCTGACCACTGTTCCTCACTGCACAGCCTCAGCAGGGAACAGCCTTAAATGGCAAAGAGACACAGGGTCGCGTCTCCTCTCTGCTGGGCCCAACTTCCCCGACCCGTGAAACAGGCAAGCTTGTGGGGCTTCAGAATAAGAGGGACAGTAGATGTGACAGCTGGGACAAGGGGTGTCTATCAAGAGGCTGAGAGAAGGCCAAGTCCCTCATCCCCTCCTTCCAACCCCACCAGCCCTGCCCGCCGCGTACCTTCCTCTGGATGGGCGTTGGCACCTTATAGCCTTTCTTCATGATGCCTTTGAACACCGGGTAGCTCAAGCCTGGGAAAGACACGGGAACGACCGGGGTGGAGGGAGCCCCCATGCACACGACTATTGCATCTTTTCCCCTCTGCTCTGAAATGCTATTGTCAGGCACTAAATCCCCAAATGTCTTGGCCTGTTCCTGCACCGGCATCGCCCGAGTCCTGCTCTAACTGTTCTCTCATTGTGTCAAGCCCGCTGCCCCCATGAGGCCCTGACTGGCTCTGAGACAGTGTCTGCTGCCTCAGTTTGCCCAATGCCTACCACAGTGCTGGGCCCAGAGCAGAGGGTGTAGTGACCCCCTGCTGCTACCCCCCACCCCCCGACACCAATTTCCCCAGATGCCTGGAGCACCCACCCATGGACTGGAAGCCTCCCGACTTCTTCTTCTTCTTGTTCTGAGCTCGCACCATCTCCCGCGTGTCCGGCTCCACGTCCGAGGTGCATTCCGAGGTGGGGAAGGTGGGCAGGGGTCTGCCAGGTCCCAGCTGGAGGGAGGAGCAGAGAGGCAGCATCACTCCAGGTACCATCAGACCACTGGGCAGGGAGGGGCTGTCCTGCAGCTGGTCTGCACCCCATTCTAGTCAATGACTCCCCTGCCAGGTCACGAGACGTCCCTGTTAAGGGCTCCCCTTTGATGGGGCCAGGACAGGGCGAGGGCAGAGAGTGGGCTCTGCAGACACACAGCCTGGTTTCAGTCCCAACTCTGTCACTTGCCAGCTGGGAGACCTCACACAAGGGACTTAATCTTCCCGGAGTCTGTGTTCCCACATCTGGGAAACGGGTGATGGGTGACGAGAGCATATGCCTCGCAGGGTGTTGTGAAGACTAAACAGGTAAGCGCAAAGCTCAGAACAGTGCCCAGCACAGAGATGGTGATATCATCATCATCATCATCATCATCATCACCATCATCATCATCATCGTCCTGGCCTGTCATTCCAAGCCCTGGAAATTAACTCTAGAGAGGCAATCGCAACTAGACCTTTCCAAGTTGTCCTGCCCTCCTCTCCTTAATCCCCTTTCTGACCCATCACCCTTACCCCACTCTGGTCTCTCTTGTGCCTGCCTCCTCTCTGCCCATCCAAGACCCCTTAGTCCCAGCACAGCTAACCCAGATGCCTCCTCTGGGGAGCCCGCTCAGACTACAGGGCTGTCCCCTTCCTCTCAGAAATAACAGGTATGGCCCGCTAATTCACTGTAATGATTGGAGCGCACACGGCTCTTACTCGAAGCCAGGTGCTGCTGCGTTCACATAGGTTAACACACTTAACCCTATGACAACCCTGGGAAGTGGGTGCTATTACTTTGTCATCTTACACAGAAGGAAACTGAGGCACAGAGGGGTGATGTGACCCTCCCAAGATCACACAGACAGCAAGTGGGGGGATCGGAGTGTGTTCTTCCCACTGTGGCCCTCTATGGTCCCTGCACCATCTAGGCAGGGCTGCAGCCTGTCTAGTATAGCCTGTGAGCTAAGAATGGTCACATACATTTTAAAAGACTGTCAAAAAATCAAACAAAAAAGACGGTGACCTTATAGGGCCCCACAAAGCCTAAAATATTTACCACGTGGTCCCTGGAGGAAAAGTTTGCCAATCCCTGTTCTAGGCACATAACAACCAAGTCCTGGAACACGCCAGGGCCCAGCATTCTACTGCATGACAGAGCATATAAACATGTCATTCAATCCTTTCCAGGTCTGTGAGGCACATGTCATCATCAGCCTTCTGCACAGGTGGAAACCTCTGTCTTCTGCAGATGTGGCTCAGAGAGGTTAAGCAACTTCTTCACTATCCCACAGCCTGTACAGGGCTGAGCCAGGGCAGAGCCCTAGTCTGAACCACATACATGGGCTCCTCTTTGGCATGTAGTACTCTGACCTCCTGTTCATTACCTTTAGCAGTTTCTCCACATTTACAGAGCACCTACTGTGTGCCAGGCTTTAGCCAGGCTGGGGAAACTGGGATAAAGTCTGGTCCCTGCCTTGGAGAAGCGTAGGCCTCTCTTCACATAAACACTCGCTCATCTACTTACCCAAAGCTATTCTGTGCCAGGCACCGGCTGGGCACAGTGCTGTGGGAAATAAGGGGCTACTGCCCTCCCTTCCCGTTTGCATACAGCTGGCATTCAATAGTAGAAACAGCACAGGCTCTGAAACCAGACAGTCCCGGGTTTGAATCCCGACTCCCCCGCTCACAAACTGAGGTTTTGGTCAAGTTCTTTTACCAATCTCGGCCTCAGTTTCCTCCTCTGGCAAATGGGATGACAATACATAGCTCACGGGGTGGTGTGATGATTAAATGATAAGGCTGGTAAAGCTTTAGCACGGAGCCTGGCACATAGTAGGCGGTCAACAAACCCAGGTTTAACTTATTACTATTAATTCCCCAGAGGTTTGGGGGCATCACTGTCCCAATCTACGGGCCTCGGTCTCCCCTTAATTCAACTTCTCAAAGGAACCCCCTAGTAAACTCTCCAAGTCAGAGCTTCAGCACCTGCACTTTTCATTGGACGAATGGGAATTAGGGCCCGCCCCCTGAGTAGGAAGTAGCCAATGAGAAGCGGGCATCAAAAGAGCCGACCAGGAAGGCCCGCAGGCCCCAGCCTTCGGAACAAGGTGGCTCCGGCCGCCAGGACTCGGGTCAGACCGGCGATCCTGCCCCCGATCCCCTGCAAGCTGGCCTCTCCCCACCCTGGGAAGTGCCCACTCCTCAGCCGGGGGAACTGCGGCCGCGGGGCGCCCACGGAGCCGGGAGTCGGGCTCCAACATGTGTCCCAGCCCCGCGCTCCCACCTTCTGCGCGCGGGTGTCATCTTCCGCCTGGACCTCAAACTCGCCGTCCTCCGAGTCGCTGCTGCGGGCGTGGGAGGCCGCGTTCCGGCGCTTCCGAAGCCCCTTCTTTTTCCTCCGCTGGGCCATGGCAGGTCGGGACCGCGGTCGGGCCGCCGAGTGCGACTCTGCAGCCATGCGGACCCGGCACTAAAGAACGGGAAGGGGCGGAGCTAGCGGGTCGTACCACGGCGTGGCGGGGGCGGGGGGGGCGTGGTGGGGGCACGGGCACCGCGTCTACCCGGCCCGGGCTGCGCCCCCTCCCCTGCCGCAGCCCCGGAGGCTGGCCGCGCCCACAGGACTCCCCTGCCCCGAGCTAGAGGCCCCTCTCCGAGGCCCTGGGGAGCTCGGGGCGGCCGGGCCTGGGAGCCCCCCCCCCCGGCGCGAATGGTTCGGGCCGCGCCTGCGGGACGCTGGCTGGTGGCTGTTGATGGGCGCGCGGAGCGCACGTCGCTAGGGCCCGGCTGTCCCCGGGAGTCGGTCCGCGCGGTGCCCGGGGCGGGACCTGGGCGGCCGGGGTTCCAGGATTCCGGGGTCCCCACAGAAGAGTCCAGCCCGCGTGGAGAGGGGCACAGGGTTGCAGCCGACGTCCAGGAGCCAGGATACTCAGGTGAGAAAAACTCAAGAATGCAGGGTCGCATCACCCACGGACACAGACGATAGTCCGGTGAAGGCCTTGGGGCGGGGGAAGGGGGGCGGTGAAGGCCTGGGGGGTGGGGGGGAAGAATTGTTGCAATACTTACAACAATACAGATAAATTTTTAAAAAAAGAATGCAGGATCCTGGGGCATCAACCTGGACACTGATTTGCGGGTGGGGCATGTGGGGCATTTGGGGGGCGTGACGCCCCTATGGTAGAATGGTTTCGTGCACAAGCTCTGGACTGCTGCCAGGTTCACATTTCGCTTCCTCTGTTTTAGCTTTGTAGGTGTGACTGACACCTGTGACGTCACCTTTTGGAGCCTCAGTTTTGTCGCCTGTAGACATAAAGCTGCTTCACAGAACTGATGAGAGGATTCAGTGAGACAGCGCTTCCAAAGCGGTTTGCAGGAGGTAGGCGTGAGAGTGACTGGTTCTTTCCTGCCCCGTAAATATATACAGGATTCAGACCTGCCCTGTCTTCCCCTCCCACCATAATTTGTTTTGTGGTTGGTGCCAAAATGGACACAAGCCCCATCTCTCCTTCATCCCTCTAGCATTCTGTAAATATTCATCGAGTACACACTGTATGCGAGGAATGCATATTCATTAAAAATGTGCCTGAAGCACATTTTTGTGACAGCTAAAAAAAAAGTCCAACATTGTGACAACTAAAAAAAAGTCCAACAGATTTCCGAAATGTCCCCTGAGGTTGGCAGTTCCCCTTTGAGGAGGACTGCTTGACCCTTTTGCCCTTGGGATGGGGACTTAAGAGACTGCCAGTCTTTCCCTGATGGCACTGCCGATGACAGAGGGATGGCACCCTGACCCCTTTCACAGGGAGCTCTGGAGGCATGGCCTGGTGGGCAGAGCATGCCTGCTGTCACCTGGCACCACGGGCAGCATGAAGACCCCTGTGGAGCTGGCCATCAGTGGGATGCAGACCCTCCACCGTCAGCACCGCTGCAGGGGCGGCTATCAGGTCAAGGCCAGGGCATCGTACGTGGATGAGACTTTGTTTGGCAGCCCTTCAGGCACCCGGCCCACGCCGCCAGACTTTGACCCACCCTGGGTGGAGAAGGCCAACAGACCCAAAGGAGTGGGCAGAGAGGCTCCACGGGCTTCGGGGGCCAATGGGAGCTGTGAGACCGCCTCCTCCAGGGGCAGTACCCCGACCCTCACCCCAAGGAAGAAGAACAAATACAGGTAACAGCATGGGGAGATGCACTCCTGCACTCGGTATTGCCACCTAAGTTCCTCTTAGAGCCCTGCTGTTCACATGCTGTGTGACCTTGGGCAAGCCCCTTGCCCCCTCTGAACTATAATTTTCTCATGTGGAAAGTGGGATTTAGTGGTTTTACTGAGAGGATTGAGTGAGGTGAGGTGTGTACTGTGCTGGGCACAGTAACCTGACACTTAGGAAAGCTCTTGATAAATAGTAGTGAGACTGGCATCTGAGGCCCAGAGAGGTCAGGATTGGCCCAAGATTACAGAGCCAGTTTGCATAAGATTACTGGTGTGGTTTGATCCATGAAATGACATAGATTTGCTGGTTTCAGATTTCAGCACGTCATTTTGAAAATGGTTCTTGCTGCATTTTCATGAACAAGTTAGAAAACCAGGAGCTGATGCTAATGGTTATAAAGTAACTAGAGGCCCAGTGCACGAAATTCATGCACTCAGGGCGGGCCCTCAGCAGCCTGCGCCCTCTCGTAGTCCAGGAGCCCTCTGGGGATGTCCCACTGCCAGGGAAGAGGGAGAGGTTCCTGGCACTGCCGCTCTGCTCGCCAGCCATGAGCCCAGCTTCTGGCACATTGACCACCAGGGGGCAGCTCCTGCATTGAGCATCTGCCCCCTGGTGGTCGGTGCACGTCATAGTGACCGGTCGTTCTGCCGTTCGGTCAATTTGCATATTAGCCTTTTATTATATACTAGTGCCCCAGTGCACGGATTCGTGCACATTGAAAGGAAATTAATTAGAAGGTGGCCTGAGGGGCAGGACTGGGTGAGACTTGCCCTGAAGCCAACCTCCTGCGGTCCCTCCCTTCCCCTCCCCGGCAGGCCACACTTGGGGCAGTGCCGTGGCTCAAAGGGCATCTGTGGAGTGAGTGGGGTCCCTCCAGCAGGTGGGGTCCCTTGGCCTGGCCTGCAGGGATTGGGCTGAAACCAGCTCTCTGACATCCCCTGAGGGGTCCTGGATTGCAAAAGGGTGGTTCTTGGGTGACACACCCTGGAATCAGGGTGTGTCACCCGAGAACTGCAGCTGCCAAGTCACCGCAGCTCGGCAGCTCCTATGTTGAGCATCTTCCCCCTGGTGGTCATTGCACATCATAGCTACCGGTCAGACAGTAGCTTAGCCTTTTATATATGTAGATGATGATTAGATTAGAATGAGATTATTGGGATTATTCCAGATTAATATCAACCCGGAAGGAGATATCTGGTAGTGGACCTCAGGGTTCCTTCTTGTTTATATCAGTGGTTTGGACAAAGACACAGGAGACTGGTGTTTTAATTGATTATGGCTGCCATAACAAAATACCATAGACTGGGGGGCTTACCAACAGAAATTTATTGAAGTCCAAGGTCAAGGTGCCCACAGGGTTGATTTCTCCTGAAGCCTCTCCTTGGCTTGCAGAAGGCCACCTTGTCACTGTGTCCTCATAGGACCTTTTCTCTGAGTGTGTATACTCCTGATGTCTCTTCTTAAAGGGACACCATCCCTATTGGATTAGGGGCCCACCCTCATGACCTCATTTAACCTTAATTACCTCTTTAAAATTCAACATGAATTTTGGAAGGTCACAAATCACTCCATAACTACTAGTTAATCATATTTAAGATCCATGCTGAACCAAGAGGGACATACTTTAGTCAAGAAAAGGAAATGGTGTCTATTTAAGGAGATAAAAATTCAACGATGGGCATACCCGTAGACCTTGCTTGACTGTGCTCATGGCCAGGCAGGGGGGACAGTGCATGCAAGAGTAATTGGGAGTTTGTGCTAGTTCTAGCCAGCCTATTCGGTGGCTGGATAAGTTGCATTACTTCAACATTTAAAAAAAAAAATTCAACGAGATAAAAGGAAGACTTGTTATTATTGTGTCAGGTTAAGGGCAACAACCTGACAAGGGTCAGGTTGACATTAGCAGCACTGACACCTACAACATGGCTGATGTAAATGTAGGCTGTATTAGCAGAAGTATGGTGTCCATGACAAGGGAGGTTACAGTCAACCCCATGCTCTCCTGGAGGATGGAGTCTTGTGCTGGATGCTGACGAGTAGAGGGTTTCACATGAGAAGGTGCATCAGACAGACATGTGTTTCCATCAGATATGGTTTGAGAAGTTAAACCAAGTAGCAAAAGGTTGACTTTTCAATTTGGAAATTTGAGCACCTTTAGTCCTGGTCTAAAACCATGGACCTCACAGTTGTGGGATTAATTAAAAAAAAAAAAAAGAATAATTGCTGAATGAATCTAATGAAAGATGAGAGGCCGAGAAGGCATATATATGTCTGATTCACTGGTTGAGAACTTGGTCCTTGAGCCAGGCTGGATTTGAATCTTCTCTCTTCCCTCCTTCTTGCTATGGGGCTTCACCCTCCCTATACCTCAGTTTTCATGTCTGTAAAATGGTATTATCAATCTCTCCCTCCTGTGGATGTTGTGAGAAGTAATGAGATAATGTATGTGACATGCTGAGTCCAGGGCCTGTAAAGCCCTAGCTGGTTTAGCTCAGTGGATAGACCCTTCAGACCCAAGGGTCCCGAGTTCAATTCTGGTCAAGGGCATGTACCTTGGTTGCAGGCTCCTCCCCAGCCTGGGCCCTGGTCGGGGCATGTGCAGGAGGCAACCAGATATGGTTTCCACCAGACATGGCTTGAGAAGTTAAACCAAGTAGCAAAAGGTTGACTCTCTCACATCAATCTTTCTCTCTGTCTTTCCCTCTCCCACTCTCCCTAAAAATCAATGGAAAAATATCCTCTGGTGAGGATTAACAAAAATAAATAAATATATCAGTAAATACTCAAAAATTCAAATCGGAAGGGCCAGGGGACTACAAAGGATTCAGCTTATGAGGCTCCTAGGAAAAAGGAAAAGTAGAAGCTAAAAGAAAAAGTGAAGGTTATAAAGACTAACATTGTATTAATTAGGGCTTTTAGTTGCAAGTGACAGAAAACTTATCCCAAACTGGCTTCAGCAGAAAAAGGGAATTTGGGCCTTACATAACCGGGGCTCAAACCATCATTGGGATCCTGTCTTCATCTTAGTGCAGCTTTCCCTCACACGTTACAGGTGAGATGCCACCAGCTGCTTTGCCCTTATATCCGCCAGCTTTTCAAGGTCAGGAGGCAGAAAAACATCTTTCCTAGTAGTTTCAGCAAAGGTCCTAAGGCAGACTCTGATTGGACAGAATGGGTCAGATGGCCATTCCTGACCAATCAGTGTGGCCAGAGGAGTGAAATATGCAAATTGACCAGGCCTGGGGCACATGCCAAGGAACAGGGGGACTGGGTGCTAGGCAGGGGCAAAATAGCAGAGATGGAGGTGGTGGTACATGAGGGGGCTGTGCCCTCACTGGGTGCCAGGCTGGGAGACAGGGACTTCTGGGATCTACCGGCAACCCTCTCTGCTGCTGCAGGTACCTGGCGGGGGTGGCGTGGGGTGGGCGGGTGTTAAGGTTGTAGGGTTTGTTCGCTCACTTCGTTTCTCTTCCCTTTGCCAGACTGATCAGCCACACTCCTTCTTACTGTGATGAGTCACTATTTGGCTCCCGACCCGTGGGCACCTGCTGGGAGGCCCCGTGGATGGTGAAGGGGGGTGCTTCAAAACTCCACACGCTCTTCTGGACACCCCCAGCCACCCCGAGGGGCCACCCGCCCCACCCCAGGGAGACCCCAGTGCGCACCATTCACCCATCTGCTCCCACGAAGACAGAGCCCAGGGAGGGGTCTGAAGCTGGGAAGGTGTCCAAGGGTGGATTAGACTCTCCACGCGCTCTGAATGTCCCCAGCACTGGCCGCCCACCCACCGGTGGCTCCCCCACGAGCGGGCCTCGGGATCCCAGGCCTTCGCATCCGGGGTGCCTTCCGGAGCCCCCTGGTGACTCCCAGGGCTCGGTCAGTCAGCGCTTCAGTGCCAGCTACGTCCCAGCGAGGGGGTGCCACCCCGAGACCAAAGCCCCCTTGGAAATGAGTTTCCCGGTCCTTTCATCAGGTTTGCCCACAGCAAGGGGAGGCGTTTCAGAGGATGGCACAGGTGGGGGGCTCCTGGGGAGACCCCCAGGTGTCGGCGAGGCACTCACGGCGGCAGGCACGGTGAGGGTGGTCAGGGACACCCTCTGTCCTGACAACCTCTGGTTCCCTGCTGCCCCACAACGTGGATGTGAGGGCCACCCCTTGAGAGGCCTGTTCTAGTCCCGTCGTAGCCACATGCTGTATCGGTGCCAACCCAGGGATGCCCCCCATCACTCCCACACATTGTCCTGCCGCCAAGTATGAATAAATGGTGTGGTCGCCAATCTGGAGGGTTCTCCCCCCCCCCCCCCGAAGCCCCCCTTTAAGCCAAACTTCCTGCTCAGGATGAGTTTCCAGCCGAGTCTGGAGGCCTCAGAGTTTTCCCTGGCACGGTGTCCAGGTGATGTGTGGGTGGACTTTTTATTTTAATGATCATGTATTTATTTTCACGTATTAAATATGTCAATAGTCACAAAGCCATGACTTTCACTATCTTTTTTCCTTAAGGGAAAAGCCGATGTTGGGCCTGAGTTGGGTTAAATAACGTTTAATGATATAGCAAGGAGCACAGAAATGGTGACAGTGGCGAGTGGGGGCCGGAAGTTCCGGACCAAGGTCTCAAGCAACACTGGGGCCTCCTCCCATCGGTTTCAGCTACTGCCACTAACTAGGGGGTCGGCTGGTTCTTCCTGAGATGAGAATGTGGCCTAGAGTTTCATGCATTTCCCGCCTTTTCAAAAAACAAAACACACAGTGACTAGGACCTGACCAAGCCGAGCGGTCCAAGGCCAGAAAGTTTCGTGCATCTGGAGAGCTCTCGGGGTCGAGGCCCCAGGGATCAGACGCGGCCTCCCTGCACCGAGGCTGCACCACCTGGGTCGGGCCCCTTACAGGCAACAGCAGGGCCTTGGCTCAGATGGAGTCGCACCAGGATCCCAGCATCCTGGCGAGTTTGGGGGGGCCTGGGCTTTGGGCCTTGCCTTGACCCCCTTTTCCCCTGATGCACCTCCAGGAAGCACAGGGATTCCAGAACCAGCCAGAAGCCCCATCATTGGTTCTGTGCTGCCTCTAGGGAAGGAAAGGAGGCGAGGGGAGGTGAGGGGAGGTGAGGTGAGGGGAGGGGAGGGAGGGGAGGGGAGGGGAGGGGAGGGGAGGGGAAGGGAATCTGGGTAGCAGTCCGGGAGGGACTGCCAGTGGCCAGGGCCAGGGATGCGTGTGCAGACACCACTTGGGGCAGGTGGGGCATGAGGCAAGCAAGTCAGCAGCTCTCTTGGCATTTTAAACATGTGGGATGTTTAAACTTCCTAGAACTTTCACAAAGAATTAGTTCCCTCCCAGCTCTCATTTACACACACACACCATCCCCCGTTTAAATAGACATGAGCCAGAAATACCTCTTTCCTCCGACTAGACTAAGAGAGGCAACAGCCTGAGTGTGAGGATAAGGGGCAACTGACAAGGCCACAGCGTCTGGGAAGACTGTGGGGCGTGGTGGGGACTGGGGCAGCCTGCAGTCTCCACCCTCTAGCGGGTGCTGCAGCTCAGCTCTGGAAGAGCCCAGGGTATCTGGTTGGTGAGAATTTTCCAGAAAAGGCAGGAAGCTGGATTTCTGTGTGAGGGCCCCTGATTTTTTTTTTTTTAAATACCAGCAGTGAATTTTTAAAAAGATACGTTGTTCAACTACCTGGGCACCAAATAAAGCCCGTGGAGGCTGCTGGTCTATGATCTTGGGACACCTGAGCTTTCACAGTGCTGATGCGGGAGAAGCTGTGGGCAACTGGGCAATCCCAGGGCGGGGCTGAGGGCAGGGAAGCCCGGTCTTGCTGGAGCTCTCTGCCTGCCCCCCACCCTCCGTGGACAGACCTGCCGGGTGACGTGTCCATCGTGGCCTTGGCGGCTTCTGGTCTGGGACCAAGGGGGCTGCAGCCTGGGCTCCGGCCTCCCACGGAGGCTGAAGGGAGGAATGGTTAGTGCTGACACCCTGCATGCTCCCCTCATGAAGACGGCATTTACAGGCATGGACACACGCACAGCCAACCACCCTGGGTAAAATGAGGTTTATTCATAGGAAGTGGTTTAAAATGGTTTTTAATTTTGAAAAAAGTATGAAAGTTATGATCGCCGGGCTTCCTGGTCCCAGTGGCTTCCTGGCCGGCTCTCAGGGGGGAGGGGGGAGGGGGGAGGCGGTGCACGGGATCAGAGCAGGGCTTGGGGGAGGGGGGCTCATTTCTTGCCCTTGCCCTTGCCCTTCTCGCCCTTCGCTTTGCCCTTGCCCCGTTTCTTCCTCTTGGACCTGAGCAGGGAGCGGACCAGGTAGCCCTTCCACACGGCCTGGATGAGCGTGGCCGCCTTCACCATGCGCATCATCTCCTGCTCATCCTCCATCCTCTTCTTGGAGGTGATCTCCCGCTCCTCCCGGATCTGGGCGAACTCCTCCACCAGCACCTCGTACCTCTGCTGCAGCTCCTCCAGCTGGATCTTCTCCTCCTTGTGGATGATGTCCAGCTCCTCGTACTCGTCCTGCGGAGGGTCGGTGGGCTCACCTGGCATCGGGCCTGCCTGCCACGCCCTCTGCATGCACCCCGCCTTTCCCGCAGGGGCTTCTGGGCCAGCAAGGCCGCCTGCACTAGGCTTTCTGCCTCCAGGGCCCGGAAGAGAGTGCGAGAAGTGATGAGGTCCATCCTAGTACGAGGTGGGACCCGACTAAAATTATCCCGGGACCCGGGAAAGAGCAGGGCTTGTGGTTGGCCAGACTGAGTCCAAATCCCAGCTCAGCCACACCGTTCAAGCCTTCGTTTTTCCTCATCTGAGGCATGCTGACAATTGCAAACGCAGGAGGGGGTGTTGGGAGCTGCTTCCAGGGTTAAATGACACCGGACAACACAATACTGGACGCGGTGCCAAGCACGCGTGGGGACGTAGGAAATGCAAGCTGCTGCCACTGAAGCCGTCCGTTTCACAAAGAGCGTGCGTAGCACTTCCTCAGGGGCTCAGTCCCACAGTTCATCCTTATGTCTAACTCCAGCCTCTCCTGCTGTAGCTCACACCCATCTCCCTCCCTCCCATTCACGGTTGCCAGCCTCCCCAGGGCCCCCTCCCCAGAGCACTCGTGGTCAGACAGCCAGGCCCCGACTTGCTCTTCCCTGAGCAGCACAGTGACTGGACCACAGAGGTTGATGCCACCTCCAGTGCCCACCAGGCTTCCTGGCCCCACAGCCAGGGCCGTGGGCCACCGAGGTTATCACGGAGCTGGGTGGGGGCTTGAGGGCACCCCGTATTGTAGGCTACCGTTCCCTGAGCACTTCCTGCGGGCCAGACCCCGTGCGGGACACAAGCACTGGCGACAGTGGTGCCTCACTGACCGCACCCTGGCCCGGCCTGGGGTGACGACCCATTGGTCACGTGCAGAAATGGGCCCAGGAAGGCCAAGCCCACAGCTGGTGAGTGACGAGAGGAGAACGGATGACGACCCATTGGTCACGTGCAGAAATGGGCCCAGGAAGGCCACGCCCACAGCTGGTGAGTGACGAGAGGAGAACCTCCGAGGGACCACGGGCCTTCCTCCCTGCATTGGGGATGAGCCCCGGCTTGGGTGCCGCAGGAGCAGAGAGTACGGGATGTGGACACTAGGTGGAGCCAGGATCATTGGCCCAGTGTCAAGCACTTAGTGGCTCAGCTTCTGGATCCTTCCCTTCCACCTCTCCCCTCGCTGCCCCAGGCTAGACAAACCCCAGACCATCCTGGGGCCTCTCCTCCCATCCCCCATTCCCAGAGGATTGTGGGAAATACACTTGAGAGAGACCTGTGCAGCAACAAATACCTGCTTCTCGCTCATCTCCGTATCATATTTCTGGATCCAGTTCTCGATTTCCGTCTCCACTTTATATTTCTTCTAAAAAAATAAAAAATTCAGTTAGTCATTGACTGACAGGCTAGAGTTTACAATAAACAATGCCAAGCACGCTCTGCACCAGCCGGCCCTGCGGTGGGTGCCTCACATGCCTCGCCTGTGGATCCACGCGAGGCAGGTCCCCCATTTCACAGATGGGGAAACCGAGGGTCAGCCGTGCTCACTCACTTGCCCAAGGACATAGAGCTGGGGAGTGCTAGAGCCCCATTTGAAGCCAGCAGTGTGGCTCCAGAACATTCTAAGCAGAGGGAGCAGCAGATGCAAAGGCCCTGGGGTGCGAACAAGCTTGTGGTGTTTCTAGAACAGAAGTCAAGCCAGTGGCTGGAGTGGAGTGGCCGAGGAGTGGTCCCGGGAGGGCAGAGTGAGAAGCTGCGTGGCAGAGGGAGTGTCAGCAGGGGGAGGAGCTTGGGTTCTGGTGTGAGGGGGAGGGGAAGCTATTGGGTGGTTTAGATGCAGTGGAGGGTCGTGATCTAATTTTGCTTTTAAAAGAGATCTGCTCTTGCCCTAACTGGTTTGGCTCAGTGGATAGAGCGTCGTCCTGCGGACTGAAGGGTCCCAGGTTTGATTCTGGTCAAGGGCATGTACCTTGGTTGCGGGCACATCCCCAGTAGGGGGTGTGCAAGAGGCAGCTGATCAATGTATCTCTCTCATCGATGTTTCTAACTCTCTATCCCTCTCCCTTCCTCGCTGTAAAAAATCAATAAAATATATTTTAAAAAATAAATAAAAGAGAGCAGCTCCTAGCCATACAATGGAATGCTATTCAGCCATAAAAAGTAATGAAGTACTGTTACACGTTACATCCTGGGTGAACCTTGAAAACATGCTGCTGAGTGAAAGAAGCCAGACACGAAAGGTCACATGTTTTATGATTCTTTTTGTATGAAACGCCCAGAAGAGGCAAATCCATAGAGACAGAGAGGAGATGAGTGGCTTTCGGGGGCTGGGGGAGGGAGGGAGTGGGAGAAACTGCTCATGGGTGTGGGTTTGTTTTGGAGTGATGGAATGTCTGCAACTAGACAGAGGCGGCGGTTGCACAGCACTGTGAATGTGCTAAATGCCACTGAACTGTTTGCTCTAAAATGGCTAATTCCATGCCATGTGAATTTCACCTCAATTTAAAAATAACAACAAACCAGCTTCCTAATCTACAGAGCAAGAATTCTCAACTTGGGCAGCATAGATGGGCCTGTGACCCCCAAGGATTGCCCACCAGTGTGAATGTGTGCGCCTCGGCTCTTTGATGGGGGAGAGGCCCATGGCTTCCATCAGGTGCTCAAAAGAGTCGTTACAGCCCTGACTGGTTTGGCTCGGTGGATAGAGTGTCGGCCTGCGGACTCAAGGGTCCCAGGTTCGATTCCCGTCAAGGGCATATACCTTGGTTGCGGGCATATCCCCAGTGGGGAGTGTGCAGGAGGCAGCTGAATCGATGTTTCTAACTCTCTATCCCTCTCTTTCTCCCTTCCTCTCTGTAAAAAATCAATAAAATATACTTAAAAAAACAAAAAGTCATGACACTAACATGAAACCGGGAACAAGCATTAGAAAGGGTGCCCTTCGTCAGGA